TGTTTAAAAAATATATTTGGGTTTCAAATCAAATGTGTTAGACAATCTTATTTATTTTATGAAACAGAACAGAACATAACTGTCTATCACTGCTTGAAACTGGTTTTGAATTGGTAACCAAAAAATACTATATTACGATTTTTCTCTGAATAATTATTTTATAATAATTGTTCAAGTTATGAAACTGGTGACGTTTGAATGAAACAAAATTTTACTCAGTTCAATTAAAGAAATGTTTTGAATTTCTAATGTGACATCTGTAACTCGTATTGATTCGCGTATACGGGTTATGGGTGTTACATTATATGTTGGTCACTAGTCTATGTTTTAATTTGCCTTAATTTAGATATTCATTCATTATTTTTAATCTGGTCACCAATTTGAATGGTTATGTAAAGTATAAATTTGATCCCTAATCTACTTTTTTTGTTACATATTGGTCTTTGGATTAATTTCATTATTAATAAACCTTAACATTAATCTTGTTTTAATTCATTATATGACTTGTAAATTATTAATTAGCAATTAGCAATTTATTGAATTATTAATTTTATTGTATTTAGACCCTATTTATTTTTAATATTTGAGTTTGAGCCTTTTGAGTCTTCGTTTTTATCCTTTACCTTTTTATTGTTTTCAATTATTAGTTTAATTTCCTTTCAATTTAGTTATTAATTAAACCTTAGGCTTAGGTTTGTTACTTTAGTTAATTTACATTTACTTTAGCCCATAATTAGAGTCTTAGATTTTAAATTTAACATTTAGATTTAGATTTCTCACACTTTAGTCCTTTAATTTAGGGAGTAATTTGAATTAGGTCTTGCATTAGCATGCCGAGAGACCATTTCGATTATTTGACTCAATAATTGATTAAAATTAATTAGGTTGATAATTAGAGCCTTAACCTTAAATTATTCACAATTTTGTCCTTGAACTTTAATGGAGTATTCATTTCACATAATTAATTAGGTTATTAGTTAGAGCCTCCACTTTAGGTTTAATTTCACTTTAGTCCTTTAATTTAGGGAGTAATTTGGTTTGGATCTCGCATTAACATGCCCGATGGACCATCTCGATTATTCGACTCAATAATTGGCTAAAATAAATTAGGATTAATATTAGAGCCTCTAGTCTTAGGTTTAGTCCTTAGGTTTTTTAAATTACATAATTTGACATTTAAGATAGAAAAAGCCTTAATTAGCCCATCTAGCATAATTAGATTTTTAAAAGGTTGTTTGATTGCATTTCATTTTTTTTAAAATAATAAGGCAATGTTAATTTATCAAGGAATTAATATGTATCCTTCGCGTTATGCTTGGGGGGTGACCACTGGTAATTCCCGAAGTAAATCGACATTATTTTCAAAACCCCATGATATGATTCTTGAACTCCGAGGCAATGTTCCTTTATTGGGGTTAATAATTAAGCTTTTGCATTAATACTTGTGGGTGGATGGTATTGGTCTCAATAATGAGTATCATTTTCAAATTTGAATCCATAATAATTTTTAAATTGAATAAAACCTTGAAATCAAAATGATCGTTGGTGACTCACAAAATTTCATTTTAAAGTCATTTTAAAAGAAAACTCAATCGTTACAACTAGTCGACTTTTTTCGGACGCGTCACTAAATCAAATAATAAAAACAACTTTTTAAAAGTAACATTTTATTATTTATGTGCAAATTGAATATTTTAGGATATATTTAGTGATTCACTACTAAAGGTGGTAATTTACTCTGTCTATTATAGGGTTTTGCTCGCATTTGTTCATCTACTATTAAATGGACCATTTCAACATTTGTGCAAATAAACATAATCAAATTAATCTAAATGTTTTACAAAATTGATATCTATGGTTTAGAAATATCAATTACTATTAAGTGTATCCATTTAAATGTAAAGGAATTAATAAATATTTTTGGTATACAATAACAAAATTTTGATGAATAATTATGTGATATTTTTTATGTTGAGGTGGAGGATAAGTGGCCCATGGCATGAGCAGGAACTACTAGATAGGATCATGATGATGCAATGATGTGAGCATCATAGATAAATGATTGTGGCGGTGGGTGACTCTGCTGTAATAATATGGATTTGGCCACATATATTCATAATACTTGCGTTTCAATCCAGCTGGAATTTAGCGTAGCACTAGCGATCAGGGCCAGATCAATGAATTTAATGTCCTGGGTGAGATAATAATTTTATGCCCCTATATTGTATTGTATTTCTTGTTCTTGTTTTTTTCGTTTTCTATTTTAGGCACCCGATGGTTGTTTTTGAGATAACATATTTAAAAGTAATTAATAAAACAATATAGTAGCAAGTAAATAATAAAACATATATATTAGCAAGGAAGGATACCCGCGTGACCGAAGTTTATGTTGTTGATTTGTTCTTTCTCACTTGTTCTTTCTCACAATTAACTGATCTGAAAAATTAATGAGAAATCAAAATAATCAGAAGGAATCACTCTAAAAAATGTCTTGAACGAAAAATTTAGCCGCTGTTTCCCCCCATCAAATTAAGTTTGCCACTACACAATCAAAATTCAAACAATCAAACTATAAGCACTAGATTTGTTAAACAAAGTGAACTAAACTCATAAAGCTTGATTCGAGGTAAAATGGGAACTTAATACATTTTATGTCTAAGTTTTACGTTTTTTCTACAACTAAAACTACATTGCAGAAAACCCATTTCTATTTTATTTTAATTTCTCTGAATAAAGAAATACAAATAGAAATCAAAAGCTATTGATGTAAATAAAGAAAACAAAAGAGGCATGCTTTCAAATATTCAAAGAGAAAAACCCATCACTCAAATAACCCAGATTAGTGTAATCTCAATATTTCACTAAAAAAAAAGAATGTAATTTTTTCTAGGCTAGTAACATCATCCAAAGAATACTCATTAACTCATTTTATACAAAAACTTCAACGAAAACCCAACGATTATGTTTATTTTTATAAAAAATTAAAGCTAAAAAGAGAGAAAGAAACCTGGAGGTAGATAATCCTTTACAGATTTCAAAGCTGCAAGACAAGGCTCCTTTGTGGAGCTAAGAATATGGCTAAATATATGTGCAAAAACTGATGCGCCTCAAATATTGCTGCCCTGGACTAAGGCTTAGGTGGCCCAGGTATTGGGGCCGGCCCTGCTAGCGATTTTGTTTTATTTTTTCTCAAGTGGTATTTTCAAATCACATGGGTATACCCATTCAATTGCTGAAATCAAGTAGACAATGCAATTGAGCATCATGAAAACTCACGAGTAAATCTGGAGTTAGAAGTTGATTTTTTAGCCCATATTTTTCCATAGGTTTTTTCCTGCGCACGCTCACTCCTTTCTTATTTTTTAATTTTCATTTATTCTTATATTACATTTTCTCTTTATTTAGTTTTAAATTTTTAATAATTTTATTTATGTTATATTTTTCTTTGTTTTTATGTATATTTTTCTGTCTTTGACATATTTTCAGTCGTTTGATTGTTTTTTCGTTTTTTTTTTTTTTATCTTTTAAGGTTGGATTTTACAACGTCTCGACTAACTAAGATGACACTTATATGTTATCCTGATGATCTTTTACTTTTGACCCTCGAATTGGATCAGGATACACGGTTGCATTCGTGGATAATTTTCTCATGTTGCTCAACTCTAATATGTGGTTTGTCTGTAGTTTTTCAATAATTTTTATCCTTTTTTGGTTTGTATGTTGATACAGTCAAATCTATTCTTATATATTTGTTCGGAGTATTTGGTTGAGTTTTTAATATTTTTCTTAAATGATATTTGTAGACATCGAATAACTAGTTTTTTTATGTTAATGGTTATAGGAAAGTATTCTAATTATATGTTTAATTTACAGTTATAATTGTAAATCTTAATTATAAATTTAAATGTTTTCTTTAATAAAACTAGGTAACTCACTGCTTGTATTAATTTTTTTGACTATATATTAACTAACATATGACTTCCAACTTTTCAATTTCTAGTAGTTGTGATAAATAATTATATTAAGGATAGACGAGAGGCGAGTGAGAGTCATTCCTGAAAATTTAAAATCACTAAATATTTTAGATTTGTTCTATTGTTTTCACCTCTTGAAATTTTAGTTTCTCCCCATCTTAAAATTTTAGAAAATTGTCCCTTAATATAAAACTATGCGTTCTTTTATGATTATATCTACGTGAGGTTATTTTTATAAAATAAATTATATTTTCTTTTACTCCTATTTCGATCACTAAATTCTATATCTAATTTAATCACTAAATTTTTAAGACATTCCTATTTTTAATTATTCGGCCATTAAATTATAAAAATTGTGATGATATAACGTATTTTATTAATGTTTACTATAATAAAGCTTATTTGATTAATATTTATATCAGGTAAACATCAACTAAAAATCTAAAATTAAAAAAATTAAAACCCATCACCCTTACTCTTATATCCAACTTCAATTATGAAAATAAAACATTTCTAGTTATTTACCGTTAACTCGATCCGTTGATCATGAAATGCACAGCTTGTAAAGGGGAATTTTCAATTTACAGAGATCACATCACTATTTCCTCTTAATTCGATTAGAAAACAAAAATATTACATGTAAAAAAAATAATGACATATTTGATAAATTATTAAAAAAATCAATTGATTAAGAAAACTAAGTAATTATTCCACTAATTTACCTAATAAAAGGGGAAAACATAATTTTTGTAGGACGAAATCAAAAACAAACAGACGTGGAACAATAATTTCTCCAAACTAAAATTTAGGAACCAATTAAAATTCGACAGCTGTCCGATTGACATTTGAAAGAGAAGATAATCTTTGTCCACCAAAGCCTCATACATGACGTCAGGAGAGTCGTCCACGTGGCCCGAACTCCAGACTGTTGTGGGAAGAGAAGACGCGAAACATCTCGAATTGAGAAGAAAGCTTCATTTTAGGTTGTAAAAAGCTACTAAAATATCCCGAATCCCATGTATATCAAATATCAGATTACAGATAATCCGGGTACAACAAAAATTTGATCTCGAGCACAAAGCTTTAGAACAAACTTGATTCTTACTGGGTTGGTGGATAGATTCGTTCCGATCACTGAGTTTGGTGGAGTTGTGGAACCGTGTGGATTGATTTCTCCGATTTGTTCTTTCATCTTTGTTTTCTCCTATCAAATAAGCTGAGGTAATATTTTCTCCTCTTTTTTTCGTCGCGTTTTCCTTTCTCGGCATGCATTTGTGAATGGCAAGCCAGTTTATGAACAATCAATTGGTTTTTGTATGAGATGAGAGCATCTCTTTTTCAGGCTCTAATGAGCTATTATTGAATGAATTTGTCTGTATTATGTACAGATTGTCACATGCTTGTATATTTTGTATGGCGTTGACATTATATTTTCATGTATATGTTCTGTTTTGATTTTTCGTTTCCAAGATTGGGTGTCTATATTCTGCAGATATCGTATTTCATGTTTAAGTAACTTTGATTCGTTGATCTGAATACAGCTCAAGTATATAGTACAATGATGTAAACTGTATGTTAGTGATAGATCTTTGTTCAGGAAATTGATTCTCCAATGGATACCAATTTCTCTAAGCAGTTTATAACATTGTTTTGTTGCTTGCCTTTCTTTTTCAGGTTTATCCAGTAGTTTGTTCTTGCAGCGTTTCTTTGAGCAACCTATATCACCGGGTGTTGTGCAACCAAAAAATGATGCCTTTTTCTGGTTACATGGATTCAAATCCTCTGAGAAATCAAACGCCTTACCCTCAACATTATTTCCCTGGTTTTGAGGCTGTTCAACCTTATTTCAAGGCCGATCCGTCTCAATCTTCAATGATGTATGAATCTTGGCCTTGTAGCAGCAGTTGCAGCAGGTACCCTGTTCCTTATCATGGTTGCTGCAGTCATGGCAATTTACCGGTTTCAATAGTTACAGACCACCGTGTCCTCATTTTGCATCATCCCCCGCATTTCACCACTATCCTAATTATCCCACATTTCCTGAATCTTATCCGATTTTGTGTTCTCCTCCACATTATTCTAATGAGCAATCTAGATGGGAATACGATAAGGATCCACACTCGAAACTACCATTGCTGGGTGTCCTAATCATGTTCTCAACCAGAAAAATTATAGAAGTTTAAAGATTGAAGAGCAGGAGAATGATGCCAAGGAAAAGGAAGATGGTTCAGTGGCCAACTCAACCAAGAAGTTTCCCATATCCAATTGTGTGGATTCCACCCGAGTATATGAAAAGTGACATGGGAAACATAATGATCAGAAAGGGGCGAGTGACTCGGATAAGGTACCTTTCGTCGAGAAGCCTCCCAAAAGTTCAAACCGCCTGAACAGCAGCCGAGGTTTGGAACGGCTGGTTTCCGCTTGACATGAATGGATGCAATCTTTGGAGCAGGGTGAAGGGGAGAAACAATCTCAAAACCAACAGAAACAAGACCAAAAGATGCAGATGCCGTTACCTTCTTTTGGGTACCGAATTCTGATAGGAAGCAGGAAGCAGATGAAAACCGAGATAAACAAAGGATTACAAACTGCTTCATATAATTCAAAACAAGCCCCATTCTCTGTTGAGTATGTTCCAGTAGAACATTCTGTCAGTGATGCTAAAATCGACAACCACAATTGGTCATGGAGAGCTCTCAGAACAAGAATGCTGCTGAAACAAAGGGGAAGGGGAAAACAGTCAGTCAAAAATGTGTTCCTGTTGAAGTGAAGGAAGGCAAGTCTGGAGGGACTGAAAAGAGAGGGCAGAGGTTAAGGATGTAAGCGTGAAACGCGATGAAGATGCCCCGAAAGTTGATCTTGGGTCTGTTACAAAAGAAAATCTCCGTCCACTCCAAAAACATCCAGCTACCTCCTGTTTGTCTGAGAGTTGATCCCCTTCCAAAGAGGAAAACGGTAATGGTAGTTCAAGGTCTCCTAGCCTCCAAAGGACAATCAGAAGACATATTGACAAAGGCCTCCATTACACCAGACAAGAAGAAGAAACTGCAGTAAATACACAAATATCAGTAGTAGCCTTGACAATATGGAACTGAGGGAAAAGAAGACAAAAGATATTCCTGTGATTGAACCAAGATCGGAGGAGAACAAGGTTGGGGAAACTACCAGTGCGAATCAGGATCAGGTTTCAGGAAGCTTATCTATCACCTCCGTAGAAGTGTCAGGGCAGCCTACCGTAGAAAGAACAAAAATAGAGAGTCATGAAAGTAAAAGAGGAAACAAAAGCAAGTTTGAAGAAGTCGTGGGAGCTGAGAAGGAAGTTGGCAGCGACAATGCTGCAAATACAGTTGAAATGGCTCATGGTCAATGCAAAGCAGAAAAAAAAGAATGTCAGATGCTGAAGCAGCCAAGCTCATCCAATCTGCCTTCCGTGGATTCGAGGTAAGAAAATGGGAACCATTGAAGAAACTTAAGCAAATTGCTGATGTTAGTGAGCAGTTAATGAGGTCAGAAATCGCGTTGAATCTCTTGAGTGTTCCTCTGTTTGCAACAAAGATGATAAGCGGCGACTATTAATAGAGAAAAATTAATGACTCTCCTTTACGACTGGATACTATTCAGGTATGTATACAACTGGCTAACTATATCTTGGAAATTTGCATTGCATATGGATTATTCTCTTTGCTTTATTTGATGGTGGTACTAATATATCAGTAACATTGCATTTCAGTCTGTTACTAGTAATTTTTTGATTACTAAGATATTCAATTATTGAAAATGGCAATCTAGGTGAGATGATGCTTATTAAATCTTGGTTTATGTTTCTTGTTCTCAGGGCTCTGATTCAAGTGTGAGAGAGGCAAGGAAATCATTAGTAAAAGAGCTAGTGACCCTGCAGGAAAAGCTCGATGCTTTAGCAAGCAAGTGGGCCGAAGAAAAGATTAAGGATCTGGGTAGTGCTGAATCTGCTGATTCTAGTGGTCGAGCTTCTGGAATTGTTAGCATGGAAGAGGAAAGTGGAAATGCATCAGCTGCTTTTGAGGATACTAGTGAAAATGTAAACATAATTAAAGAATCAGATCAGGACTGCCTTAATGTCAAAGATGGAAAGGACGAGGAGACTACAAAGATTCCTGGTGTCGAACAAGGCTTAGATGAGAAAGTAGACAATAATACTGTGGAAGTCAGTATCGAGCATCATACAGTGCCGAGAATCGAGGTAGATGTGCCACCCAACCTTGAGCAGGTGACTCACATGTCATCTGTTCCAGAGTTGAAGTTCGAGGCCGATGAGTTGGTGGAGTGAATGATCTATCAAAAGAGGAAAAACCTGAGGTGCTGGAAGTAAATAACTCGGAAGATGAAAAACTTGGTGAGCCTGGAAAGAAATCAGAAATAATAATAGCGAGACTGAATCAGATCTGCCAATCAATCCGTCTTTACCAGGTGAAGTAGAGAATTTAAAGTGCACTCAGACAGACCAAGAGCCTGACTTGTTAAAAGAGTTGCCAGTTGGAGTTATTGATGAGGGACCAGTCATTTCCAGAATTGATGAGCATCCGATTGAGGCAGTATCAAACTACAGTGCAAAGGATAAAAAGCGGATGAATTTACCAATACCCATGAGCCAGAAGTAGAGATGGAGCAGAAGGTGGTCAACGATGACAACAAATTCGAATCAGTCTTCAAACAGGAGGATGCTCACTCAGCAACAGATGAAGAAAAGGAACCGGTGGAAATTCACTCAGCAACGGAGGAAAACAATGACTACCTGCCGCAACATGAGGATGATTCGGGCGTGATACCTGCAGATCACGTGGCATCATCAGAATCAGAGGCAGGAAGCGAAGCAACTCAGGAGAAAGAAGTCCTCTTTGAGGAGACGAAAGCAGCAGAGCAGCCGGTAAGAACCGAGGGGAAAGAGGGAGAAGATGCTCCTTCAGAATCTAACGGAGATCATGACTTGGCCAAGGATACAGAAGACGAGAAGCTGATTGAAGAGAACAAGAAGCTGAAAGAAGTCATGGAGAAACTCATGGAAGCTGGAAGAGATCAACTTAGCGCTATGTCCAACCTAACTGAAAGAGTAAAAGAGCTTGAAGAAAAGTTGGCAAGGACCAAAAAGTCGAGCAAGGCTGGAAATAGAAAAGTTAGATATGCACCCTCCTATAAGAAGCTGGTAAAAGTAGGGCTTCTGAAGTTACAAAGTGAGCTTCCCACACGTTGGTTGAGTGAAGTTATCATCGTGAGGTTGATGTTGTGTGTTGTGTATTTTGATGAAATAAAATCAATAATATGGTTGCTTTTTTCTTGCAGTCTTGTTTAAGATTATGATAGTAGGATGATTTGAATGAAAACCCAAAAATGTCTTACTTTATCTAAAAGTAAGGAACAGAGGAAACAAAACCCCAGGCAGAAGCAGCAAAAAAAAGACAACACTTTTCGATGAAGCAATTCTTTGCCCCAACGATCGTGCCTCATAACCGGTTTGGTCGACTTCCACTCCCATGTCTTTCTTCCGCCGCCACTTCCAAAGTCTTCCCTGCTACACCAATCTTATACGGCTACGATCTGTTGTCCCTGCCAACAAAGAATCTATTACCTAGGATGAACTTCTTGACCATTATAATTGCTATTGTAATATCTCATAGTCCTCTCTGACCATTATAATTGCTATTGAATATTTTTTTTGGGATAAATTATATCATTAATTTTAATTATTTATCTTTATAATTTATTATTGATCTTTAATTTTATCAATTGAATTATCTAACCATTTAATTATATTCAATCAAATCACTTATAGTTGACATTTAATGAAAGTATTGATATTATAGTTAAGAAATTGATATAATTATACATTTTGCTCTCAATATTTATATATTCTATCAATTTAGTATTTGTTTTAGTTTAATTTAATAAATTTAATTTTCTAACCAAAATTTGACATTTATCACACTATAATTGAAAGGTAAATTTAATTTTATTCTTTCTATTTTTCATCCAATCAGATGATGACACATTATTATCGGATTGAATAAAAAATTAGTAGAAAAAATCAAAATAAAAATGATAAAAGTGGGATTCAAACCTAAATAGTGCAAAGATTATATCATAACCTAAACCACTAAGTTTAACCTATTACTTGTTATTGAAATGGGTCATCTACAAATAATATATTATATCAAATGACAAAAAAATAAAATAAAAATAAACATGTAAATTAAGGAATTTGATCCGAAACTTCTAGATAGATTGGCTGCACCTTAGCCACCAAAACAAAGCATAAGATTGAAAAAATTAACAATAATTTGTGTATATATCTTTAAATTAAAATTTCAACTTAAATAATGATTTTATTTTTAATATAAAATAAATTGAGTATATACATGAAAAAAAGTCTACGGTAAACTACTATTGATCACCTAACTATTTAATCATTTTATTTTACTACAAATCTTTAGTTTTGTCAATTAAACCACCTAACTATTTAATTTATTCAGTTAAGCCACTAGCCGTAAATATTTGACGAAAATCCTGACGTGACAATTAATAAAATTTGTATAATTAAATATATAGTCCTCCCTGTTTGATCCTTTAAATTTAATAAATTAATCCTCAATCAGGATGTGACGTGTTAATATATGATTGAAAGTTTTTATTAATTTATTTAATTAAATAATATTATTTAATCATCCAATCAAATGGTGACACATATCTCCCTGATTAGAATGAAAATAAAGGAAAAGAAATTGCAATTTAGGGGATTCAACAAAACCACGTCACTTGGCAAAGACACTGGCTGCCCCCAACATTAGGCCAAAAGTCTCAAATGATTTAAAGGTTGAAACAAATTGTTTACTTTAAAAGTTTGTTAATGGTAAAAATAAAATAAAAAGAAAACAGGATTAGAACTAGACAAATTGTTAAAAAAAAAATAATTTAAACAACTAAATAAATCTAATTTTATATATTTTAAATTATAATGAACGGAAGATTTACAATAAAATAAATTTAATATTTTATATTTGAAATTATAAAATAAATATAAATATAAAAATATTAAATTTATTTATTGTAAATATTTCATTAATGATAATTTAAATATATATAATGTATTTAGATATAATTAAAAATTATTTATTTAGTTGTTTATATGATTTTTTATTTTATAGTTTGTCTAGGCTCTAATCCTCATTTTATCATTAGCAAGATTTAAGCTAAATATGATTCGTTTTAACTATTAAACAAGTAGAAACCATTGGTTGAGTGGTTGGGGCGCTCAATATCGCTTAAGTGTCATGTTTTCAATATTTATGGAGTGTAATTTCTTTATTTTTATTTAATTAAAGAAACTAAAATTAATAAATAAAACCTTCCAATAATGTATTAAAATGTGTTCATTATGATAAAAGGGTTAATTTAATAAAGTTAATTAAAATTAGGACCAAATTAATATAATATAAGAATGGGGGATTAAATGTATAATTATACCAATTTTATTAACTGCCACGTAGTATCTTCGTCAAATTTTAATGGCTAGTGGCTTGATTGAATACAAATTAAATAATTAAGTGGTATGATTGACAAAATTAAAAGATTGATGTTAAAAGTAAAATAGCTAAATAGACGATCAATGGTATAATTTACCAAATTATGCTTCTTCTTCCACTAATTTTATATCCATTCGATTAATCTTTTTATATCCAATTTGATCGGATTTGGTGAAAAATAAAATAATTAAAATTAAGAAAATACCCCTAAGTTATATTATGACAAGTGTCAAAAAACTTGTTAAAGGATTAAATTTATTAAATTAAATTAAAATTAATATCAAATTAATAAAATATATATTATTGAAGACCAAATGTATAATTATACAAATTTTGTTAACTACTAAGCACTTTCATTAAATGTTGACGATAAATGGTTTGATTGAATATAATTGACAAAATTAAAAGATTGATTATAAAAGTAAAAGGGATAGTAATTATGTGGTCAATGATATAGTTTGTCGGTGAAACTGTTTTGGGCCTTATTTTTACTAGTTACCTTTTTCGGCTTAACCTAAGCTTGATTTTTTTGGTTTAATCCAAACTTGATATCAAGATAGCTAACATAAGCACCATAATACAAGATATTTTAACATAGGCAAAACATCAAATGAACACATGTATCAAACTAAATCTCAGGTTAGGAGTTACATGTTAATATGAGATTGTTTATACGAGCCCATATATCTTGTTGGAGTGCTAGACCTATTTGGATTTTGGATTGGGCTTGTTTGGGCCCAATTGATATTAAAAAAATGGCATTTTTAATATTCTGAGAAAAGAGAAAATACTAAAAGAGTAACTAGACCAATTTTTGAAACAAAAGCTGAAATCCCTTAATTGTTGGTGATATCACATTTGTTCCTTCTTTTTTTCCCCACACAATTGTTTGTCTTCTTCTCTTCTCCTCTATTGCCTTCTCCTTCACCCAGCTTTCTCAAAGATCAAAACTTTATAGCTCTTCAAGCCTTATCCAAACTTCTAAAGGTAAGATTTGTTATCCTTATCCTAAAAGCCCCTTGACCCCTCATCAGTAGTACAAAATTGAAGGCCCATATTAATTTTTTTTAACAAAGGCGTAAGAACGTGTATATATATATATGATATGTTTGTTTTGCACGGTGTTTGACATGCATGGTTATAGCCCTTGTTCAATTTATAATGGTTTAATTTGAAATACGGTTCGCGAGGCGTGCCTTTCTATATCTCTGTTGTATTTCCTTCTTCTCATCTTACCCTCGTATGTAAAACGAGTTTCTTTTAAAATTGTAAACGTATGAAGATTCACAAGGAGCAGAAGAATGGCGAGAAGATACATAGAGAATAGTCTTAGGCTTTAGGGTTTTTGGTTCTCCTATTGGCTTGGGATGGACCACCTTAGTCATTGTTTTGGGCTATAACCATTGCATCTTATTTATTGCTATATTGTTATGTATGCAATGCCTCAAATGATAAAAAGAATGATATTGATGAGATCAATAAGGGCATGATATTAAAATGAATAATGATGAGATAATTACGCAAATCCCTCTTTATAATCTAGGTTAACTTAACCGTCCAATATTTACCCTCGTTAAGGCTTCAATCAATATTGTGTGGGCTTTTCCAAGCATTGGCACATAAATCTATCTTGATTAAACGTGAAGAATAAGCAAGTGATATTCACCGGTTGAAATATTGGTAATAACTTAGCTAGGTATCTAATAGGATTAGAAACCTAGAGGTTAAATATTTGGATAAATCATGAGAAGACTTGAACAAAAGTTGTTCACCAAAATGAGGAGTTACATGAGATGTAACTAGTAAAGTGTTACTTACCTAAATAATCACTATCCTAAAAGAAAACCAAAGCTAATTTAGGAAATTGATGTATTATGTTTCCAAAATTAAAACAAAGAGGTTTTTAATTTTGAATAAAATAGTGGGAGTAATTTGTCAATAAAGTACTATTTATAATTTTAATTCGGTAATTTACTTACTTTAATATTTCCATTGTGTAGATTAATGGCAAACAACACTTTATCACTGCGATCACTCCTTGAGAAGGATAAACTTAATGGCATAAACTTCCTTGACTGATTTCGTAATTTGAGAATTGTTCTCAAACAGGAAAGAAGTGAATATGTCATTGAGGACCTGTTCCTGATGACCAACAACTAATGCTTCAGAGCTGATAAAGAAAAATTCAAGAAACATATGGATGATATGTTAGATGTTGGATGTCTAATGTTTGCCACCATGACTCCTGAGCTTCAGAAGCAATATGAGGACATGGTTGCATATGAGATGATTCAAAATCTCAAGGAAATATATGAAGGGCAAGCACGTCAAGAGAGATATGAGACCTCTAAATCTTTATTTCAATGTAAAATAACAGAGGGAACTCCTGTAGGAGCTCATGTCATCAAGATGATGGGTTACATCCAAACGTTGAAAAAGCTTGGATTTCCTACTGATGTTATCCTGTAATCGTTTCCAGATAGCTTTAGCCAATTTGTTCTTAATTTCAACATGAATGAAATAAAAAAGACTTTGCCACAATTACTTGGCATGTTACGAACTGCTGAAAGTAACATGAAAAAGGTTGGACCTAAGCCCATTCTGATGGTCCACAAAGACAAAGCAAAGGGAAAGAAAAAGGTAGTGGCAAAGTCTAAGGGCAATGGTAAGGCCAAACCAAAAGGAAAAAATGCATTGAAACCCAAAGGGGGAGTTAGCAAGGAAGGAAAATGTTTCCATTGCGATAAGACTGAACACTGGAAGAGAAACTGCCTTGCTTACCTTGAAG